CCCAAAACCCCAAAACCCCAAAACCCCAAAACCCCGCTAAAAATAGTATTTATTGAAATTACAACAAATAATGACACTAGCCTAGAGATCTTAGCTTCTTAACCCTAGCTCAAGGAGTTGGCTCTATCTTACGCTTTTTGGTATGATACTGCTTCACTGGTTTTCCACCATGGATTTCAGCCTTTTTGTATAGCTTCAGATTACCAGAGTTTTCATGAGAATAGTCTTCATTTTCATCGATTTCTTCAGACTCTCCTTCAGCTTCATCTACATCTTCGTCCTCAGCCTCATCCGCACCTTCAGCTTCATCCTCAGGCTCAATTTCACCCTCAGCTTCATCCTCGCCTTCTTGCTTTTCTGTTTCTTCGTTGATTGGTGATTTTCTGCCAGAAGTATCTTGAGAGTCTTCCTGTGTAACGATAGACAGAGCTTCTGGGGATTCATCTCCATTCTCAGTCGTTTGAGTATAATCAGCTTCTTTCTTAATCCTCATCTTCTGAGGAGTGCTCTGGCTTGAACTCAGAGACTTCTCTTCCTCTAGAGGACTATTATCCGCAAGGAATTTGCCATTAATAGCATTCCTGAACTCCTCAGAGACTTTCTTAGCTTTCTCGATGACACAGTCTGGGATTCTGGCCAGCTTGGCCACATTGATTCCGTAACTTTTTGGGCACTTTCCTCTTATAAATTTGTACAAAAATGTCACCTCATCAGTATCCTCATCTGCTTTACAAGCCATATGGAAATTCCCAATCATCGGGTCATTCTCGAACTCTTTCACCAACATATGGTAGTGAGTGGCAAATAAAGTTCTACATTTCAAAACTGAAGACAGATGGTGTAGTACTGAGGCAGCGATGGAATAGCCATCGAAGGTAGAAGTGCCCCTCCCAAGTTCATCCAGGATCGCGACTGAATTCACAGTTGCTTGCTCAATAATTGCCTTAGTTTCTTCCATTTCAACATAGAAAGTGCTTTTCCCTTCCAAAATTCGGTCTGAAGCTCCTAGTCGGGTGAATATTTTGTCAACTATTGTCATTCTGCAGGACTCTGCTGGAACATAGCAACCCATTTGAGCCATAATTATGGCAATGCAGGTCTGTCTCAACAAGGTGCTCTTCCCACCCATGTTAGGCCCAGTCACTAACAAAATATTTTCAGAAACAGAATCATCATCACTGTTATATAAATTTCCAATCTTGATGTCATTAGGAATGAAAGTCATCCCAGAACTTGCTAATGAAGGATGTCTCAGTCTCTTAACCTCAAAGTAAGGCTTGTAGCAGTTGTCTTCATAATTGATAATTTCTGGCCTTCACATGATCCCTTCACTAGAGCTACTGACTTCTGCCAAAGAGTGGAGGCAGTCAAGCTCAGCCAGTCAGCTGACAATCTGAGTCCATATCTGCTTCTTCTCATAAAAATGTGTGAACAAAGACACAATGAATGGCACAATAGCGTCATTAAGGTTCTCTTCTGCTTTCTCTAGTGCTTCTAATAAGTCCTTAATCGTAGCTGTTTGATATTTTTTGACGTTGTTCTTGCTAGATGATAGCTCCAGAAAAGGTGGCTCCTTCTTCCCCTTGAACAATGCTCTTGGAATATCAAGTTCATACCTCTATCAAAAGTAAAAATATAGACTTACCAAACGAGAATGAGTGTACGTAATCTTATCAGACTGGAAATGCTCCTTAATTTCTTCTAAGTGCTGGTCAAGTTGTTCTTTGACTCTCATGACCTCCTGATTAGCAATATCGAATGACTCATCAATTCCAGGAAGGGGCTCTGGTATCTTCTCTTTGCCGTCAGATTTCCAAATAATCAAGCTCTCAAAATCATTGACCATGATGTCAACATCAGGGAAGAGGCCATAGTCTTCAACATTGTCTCTGGGTTCACTCTCTCCTTCAGCTTCGTCACTTTCTTCTTCATCGACTTTCTTAAAAGTAAGCAGATTTCTGAGTCTCTTAGATTTGAACCTATCTTTTACCTTCCTGTAGATATTCACAAGCCCTTTCAAGCTCTTGAAGTGTTCCATGAGAGCATGGAACTCCTTGATTTTATTAACACTAAGATTTTCAAAATAAACCACCTTAACAGACTGCTTGATGCTGTATTTGTACATTTTCCCAAGCAGTTTTTCTAAATCTGGCAAGGCCTTCAGCCTCGTCCTGAAATTTGTTATCAAGTTTGAGTGGCCAGTCAGATCATCAATGCAATCAAGTCTGTCATTTATCTTCTCTGGATCTGTGAGAGGGGATCAGACCCATCTCTCCAGCATTCTTTTACCAAAGGAAGTGACTGTTCGATCAAGATAATCAATGAGAGATCCTTCTCTTCTTTTACTAGTTGTTTCAATGACCTCCATTACTTCCAAGTGCTCGATAGCTTGTGAGTCCATGACCAGAGAAGAAACCATATTCTTCTTAGGATCAAACTCCTTGTACTCTCCTAATGGAAGAGTCTCTTCTGCTATGAGAAGTCTCTCAAGGAAAGAGACTACCATTCCGAAAGAGTTGACCATCAGGTCGCTGTTTTCATCCTCCCTGGCCTTGGCTAGTACTTCTGGCCAATCCTTGGGATCCTCCCCAAAGTAATTCTCAATAGCAGAGAAAGTTTTTGGGATTCCCCAACAGTCTTTGGGAGTAACTGTTGAGAATATAGGCGTCAAGAACGCATTTTTTAGGATATTTATCAACTCCTCTCTCGTGTTTTCCCTGTCAAATATTACCTCAACCGGTCTGATCTGGTTGACTAGCGTCCGGAACTGGCTGAACCCCTCGTCATCTTTGTAATAACCCATAAAGAATTGGAGTGTCCCGATATCAAAAAACCCAAGGCCTATATTATTCTCATGATCATGCTTAAACACTAGAATGTATCTAGATTGGTAATCCTGGTTATTCGGATCGCTATAAGTCCCTTTAGTGTAGATACAAGTTATGGCACGTTTTGCACAATCATCAGAGGGATGATTGATCTTCTTCTGTGTCTCTTTACGCTTGGCAACCATCCTTGAAGTCTCTCATTGCTCAACTATCACTACTTCATACCCTTCTTCAACAAATTTGGTCAAATTTTTATCAAGTGTTTTCTCAGGGAACCCCACATGTAATTTTTTAGTGTTCTTCATCCAGTGAAGATCGAGCAATCTGACAGCAATAATGGCATCTTCATCATACATTTCATAGAACTTTCCAATTTTGAACAGTAAAATCTTATCATAATGTTGACACTTGATCTCCCAATACTGGTACTTTGATGGTGAGAACCTCAGCCACTCATTCTTAGGGATATGAAGTGTCGAAGGATCATAGTTAGGATCACTCTTAACTCGCTTCTCAGCATCTTGGATCTAAACTCATTACAAAAGGGTTGACTTACATGCTCATCTCTGATAAACCAAGGCTTTTCATATGGAACATCTATATCTTGATGCTTGCCATTCCGCTTAGACTCTTCCATGCCCTTGACCCAGTTCTGTTCGAGGGCTACCTTATTAGCAATACTTGAGAAGTTATACACTTTCTTCTTATTATTCTTCTTAGTTGGGGAGATCTCCCTGATAGCTCCAACCTTCCTCTCATCTGTAGCTGAGAGCTTCGGCACAAAGTTCTTCTGGCTTTCTTCGTGATTATAGAACCCAATATAGGGCCTCTTCTTTCGCTTCTCACTCATAAAGTAGTTTCCTTGGTCAAATTAAGCTAGAGCTTAAGGTAATGGTAAACTTCTAAAAATTCGCACCCTCACAATGCCTTTTCAATATGCTATTTCTAACCAGGGGTTTTGGGGTTTTGGGGTTTTGGGG